GCCCGCTCTGCTCCGGGTCTCCTCTCCCGGCTCAAAGCGGGAACCCTAGTGTGATCAGCGCTGCTTGTAACCAAGCGTCTTAGTTGTTGCGACGGGAGGCCGGGGGTGTGACCCCCCCCCACCCTAAGTTTCACTTTTCTTTCTTTTTCTGATCTTAGGACCTTTTAGAAAGTTCATGACAACACACACGCGCCGACGGTGTTTTTGTGGTCAGGAAGACCTAGAACAAGCTCCATTTTTAGAGTTCATCACAAAGTCCTGAACCACCACTTCAGGTTTCCTCATAGAACTTTGTTCTAGGTGTAGAAATGACCTCTTTAAACTGGCGCCAAATCTACCTTAGGGCCCATAATTAATCTCCGGCTTAGGTGAGCATTTACTGTGAACTGAACTTTATGCGTAGAGCGAGTCAGGGGTTGGGCTTTCGGTGACAGGGCCCACAAATTAGAGAAAAAGTGCTCTTCTGTGCGATTTTTCTAGTATAAACGAATAGAAAGAGATCAAAAGCCTGAGAATGTTTAAATGTTAAACAATAGCCGTTAACTAGTGTAAATATGTTTACAGTTGTTAGGGGAATGAAATAATGAAGGCTGCAGGGCTGGCGGTTTTAAGACTCATTTATAAAGGGGTCCATACAGGAGATTGTCATTGTCAAAGAGGAAGGATTCACACCCCAGTTCCTTGCTTTAGTGTGTGGCCTTGCCGTTGAGGGTGCTGATAGCAGACCTTTAAGACGTTTGTGGAGTTTACTGTCTTACACTCCTTTTCAGATATTATTAACTTATTTTGTCCATTTCTCTCTACTAATTTGGATTGCACTTTTGTTCTCTCTCTCTCTTTTTTTTTTTTTATGATGAGGAAACCAAAGCATGGAGGCCAGGTGACCTGACGTTCACACATCTCTCAACATTTCTCCAGATGTGAGATGTTTCTATTGTTAGAAACAAAGCCAGGTCTGGTGTGGATGGGACTGACCCTTTGCACTGGTTCTTGGCGAATGTGCCTACTTGTACGTAGTAGGAGTGAACAGAAGAGAATCTTACTTCATAAAGTTGTACTTTATAGTCCAGATAGGAGACTTGCATTTTGTGTGACAAAGGGCAAACTATCCATTTCTTTTCCTCTTTTGGTCTGTCTTTGATGAAGTCATTTGCTGAAGTGCACATATGTTTGAATATTAGCATATATTTCATTTATGGTTTTATAGTATATTTTAAATGTGTGCATTAGTTGTTTTCTTGTAAAAGTAATAGTGGTTAATTAGCCAAAGGATATAAATTATTTCTAAAGCTATTATAACTATACTCAATATATTTGTGTTTTTCCCATTTCTACTATTCAGATGTTTTAAGTAGACACTCTTGTCATCTAATAGATGAGATAACTACTGGGTCCTAAAAAGTTCACATGAGTTGCCCACTTGCTGTCTGTTGTTGGTAATTGAGCTCAAGGGAAACTAAACATTAAATTATTTTAAGAACATTTTTCATTTAAAAAAATGACTAAATTTAATTCGTCATGTTATTTAATTCTTCCTCTTGGCTTTGAAATGCATTATTAGAGCACACAAGTTAGCCTTCCCTCCCCATTGCACATATTGCTAAGAATCCAGTATGTGCGTTCCAAGTAGCATGTGGACTTCGGAGCTGGTATTGAGATACCACTGTTAAAGGGGCCAATTTCGTATCACTTATTTCTCCCTCCGCCAGCTTTCTTGAGGTACAGTTGACAAAATTGCATTTAAAGTGTATGGCATGATGATTTGATATAAGTATTCATTTGTAAGATGATTACCACAATCAAGTTAATTAACACATCCATCACCTTACATAGTGAGAATGCTTAAGATCTTCTCTCAACAAATTTCAAGTATGCAATTCAGTATTATGACTGCTAGTCACCATGCTGTACATTAGATACTTAGAACTTATTACTGAGTCCTTAGATTAAGAACAAAATAGAGAAAAAAACAAAAGTTGGGTTTATTTCATTTTGTTCTGATTTTCATTCAGCTTTGCTCACATATAATTGCACAAATAACCTTTGTTGCTGGCTTTCAAGTATAAACTACATGGTCAGTGATGATTTTTTCTGTGTAGTTGCATGTACCCAAAGAGATGAGATATGTATTGATCTATTAAAACTTTTGTTTAAATATTAGCTGCATTTGTGTTTTCCAGTGCAAGCATGAAAATAGAAAGGAATCATTTACTTATTCTCACGTATTTCAAATAGTTGTGAGTTTATGATTAGACTCATAGTAAACTAGCATTTATTGAACACCTGGTGCCAGGCACTCATACTTAATAAAGTTTGAAATGTACTATAAATAGTAGTATTATTAAGAATGTACTATTAATTTTTTTTGTTTAGTTTTGGTATTGAACATGACTAATTGATAGACAAAAACCAATTAACAAAAAGGTTTCGTAATTTTTTGCTTTTAAATAGGTGTGTTGGGAGTGGGTGTGTGTAAACAATAGTAAAGATCACTCAAATTGCAATAAAAATTTAGTTTTTTGGATATGTATGTTAACTGTGACCTATTATGATATTTATTATGTTGTGAGTTGTAAGCCATATTCTTTAAAAATTTTTTTAATTAAACTATAGTTGGTTTACAATGTTGTGTTAATTTCTAGTGTACAGCATAGTGATATACATATATATATATATATATATAACACCTTTTCATATTCTTTTTCATTATAGGCTATTACAAGGTATGGAATATAGTTCCCTGTGCTATACAATAGGACCTTGCTGTTTATCTATTTTATATATAGTAGTTAGTATCTGCCAATCCTGAGCTCCTAATTTATCCCTTCACCCTACCCTTTCCCTTCTAATATCCACAAGTTTGTTATCTATATCTGTGAGTCTGTTTCTGCTTTGTAAATAAGTTCATTTGTGTCATTTTTTTGTATTCCACATATAAGTGATATCATATGATATTTTTCTTTCTCTTCCTGGCTTGCTTCACTTAGTATGACAATCTCCAGGTCCATCCATGTTGCTGCAAATGGCATTATTTCATTGTTCTTTATGGCTGAGTAGTATTCCATTATACACCCCCACATCTTCTTTATCCAGTCATCTGCCGATGGACTTTTAGGTTGCTTCCATATCTTGGCTATTGTGAATAGTGTAAACCATATTCTTAATGGAATATGTTTTTTGGGTCTTATGTATGAAATTAGAGGATTACAACAGAATGAAATAAATGATTTCATTAATATTTTTAGTGTAAATTAACCCTTAGGAAATATATAGAGTAGAAATTATGTAAGTATACTAGGATTTCATTCAGTCCTAGTTCAAACAACATTTGTGTCTGTCAGTAAAAGCATGGAGAGTAATTGTACTGGGGAGATCAGCTACTAATAAATTTAGCAATTAACTTTTTCAGTTTAAACACACACTTTTCCCCTTAACCTCCTCCCAAGGCATATGATTGTTCTACCCATAACAAGAAAGCAAAATAAAACAAGGACCAAATGTGGCTTTAATGTTAGT